TAAAATTCGTCTTGGTCTTAATCCAAGGATCATATCTAAGGTTGCTGATGACTCGCATGACGAAAGAATACTTGATGAGCTTGAAAGGGATGGTGTTGATACATCTTTTATGGTGGTGTCCAAAGGAGGAAACTCACCATTCACACATGTCATTGTTGACAACCAAAAAAAAAACTTGCACGTGCATTTTCACTCAAGGATATCCACCCATGATATCTGAGGGTCTACATACCCAAATCAAAATTGTCTTCAACGCTTGGAGTAAATATTGTCTACTTAGATGGAAGGCTGCATGAGACTGCTTTGATTGTAGTGCAGGAGGCAAAGAGTAGGGGCATACCTATTATAGTTGATGCAGAAAGGTTAAGGGAGGGGTTGGGTGATATTCCTGACTTTGCTAGTTATGTTGTATGCTCGACAACATTTTCACAGGACTGGACTAACGCCCTTTCTATTCCAACTGCACTTGTTTCCATTATCTTGAGATTAATGTCAAATGTAAAATTCGTGATTGTTAGTTGGGTGAAGATGGTTTCTTAATGTTAGAAAGGACTAAAGCGGATAACCTCAGTTTGAAGAAATGGATCTAGCAGTGACCAATGGATGGAGAAATACAAGGATTAGAACATAAAAAGACAAAAAAAACCCTTCTAATTCACGGTCAACAAACGGCGTCATTGACGGAGGATCAAAACTGTCCAACGATCAATAACAGTGGCTACTAAGTGACAATTTTTATTATGGAGGATGAAAAGTGTCAATGCCCCAATAAGTCTAGGACCAAAAATGGCATTAACTCTTGTATTCCGTGAGTCACAATAATAATATAACAATAATTAAATATTGTTCAATTCTATATTCTTCTAAGATTTATATTACCATCATTAATTATTTCCAAATTTACCATAATTAAATAATTTGACCAATTATAAAAAAAGATTATTAAATAATGCACGAGACAATTGTTTAATTAAAAATTTTAAAAATTCATTAATAAAACATAAGATTCTCATAGTTTTTTCTTAGAAACTCTTTAATAAAGTATTTTTTTTTTAGAAATTGGTGGGCCAAACCGCCTACGGCAATTTGCGGTGGATAGATCTCGAAAAAATACACGATTTCAAAAAAACATTTGTCCAAAACGGACAACGGAGTCAAAAGCTATGCCGTGCCGAACTTTTGACACTTTACAAATTAAAAAAAAAAAAAATTAAAGGCCGGTTCAGCCGGCGAGGCGGCAGCTGAGGAGGCCGATTCCTGCCTTCCTCGCCGCGGCCAGCGACACGATTTTTGCAACACTGATATATAAAATAGATATTGATTAGAATAGGAATAGTACTACATAATTTTATAATATTACAATAAAATTTTAACCAAGAATTATTGTAGAAATAAATATATTTTATTAGGAAGAGAGATGTTTTAGGAATTGGGCGGGAAGTTAAAATTTAAGGATTTTGTTTTTTATATATAGTATAGATAGATTGTATTACACTATTTTATAATATTAGAATAGAATTTTAACGCAGAATTACTGTACGAATGTGAAAGTAGAAATCAATATATTTTATTAGGAAGAGAGATTTTTTAGGAATTGGGCGGGAAGTTAAAATTTCAGGATTTTGTTTTTATATATACTATAGACTATAGATTGTATTACACTATTTTACAATATTAAAATAGAATTTTAACGCAGAATTATTGTACGAATGGGAAAGTAGAAATCAATTTATTTTATTAGGAAGAGAGATTTTTTAGGAATTGGGCAGGAAGTTAAAATTTCAGGATTTTATTTTTATATATAGTATAGATTGTATTACACTACTTTATAATATTAGAATAGAATTTTAACGCAGAATTACTGTACGAATGGGAAAGTAGAAATCAATATATTTTATTAGGAAGAGAGATGTTTTAGGAATTGGGCGAGAAGTTAAAATTTCAGGATTTTGTTTTTATATATAGTATAGATTGTATTACATTATTTTGTAATATTAGAATAGAATTTTAACGCAGAATTATTGTACGAATGTGAAAGTAGAAATCAATATATTTTATTAGGAAGAGAGATATTTTAAGAATTGGGTGGAAAGTAAAAAATTTAAGGATTTTATTTTTATTTATAGTATAGATTGTATTACACTATTTTATAATATTAGAATAGAATTTTAACGTAGAATTATTGTACGAATGGGAAAGTAGAAATCAATATATTTTATTCTGAAGAGAGATTTTTTAGGAATTGGGCGGGAAGTTAAAATTTCAGGATTTTGTTTTTATATATACTATAGATTGTATTACACTATTTTATAATATTAGAATAGAATTTTAACGCAGAATTATTGTACGAATGTGAAAGTAGAAATCAATATATTTTATTAGGAAGAGAGATTTTTTAGGAATTGGGCGGGAAGTTAAAATTTCAGGATTTTGTTTTTATATATAGTATAGATTGTATTACAGTATTTTGTAATATTAGAATAGAATTTTAACGCAGAATTATTGTACGAATGTGAAAGTAGAAATCAATATATTTTATTAGGAAGAGAGATGTTTTAGGAATTGGGCGGGAAGTTAAAATTTAAGGATTTTGTTTTTTTATATATAGTATCGATAGATTGTATTACACTATTTTATAGTATTAGAATAGAATTTTAACGCAGAATTACTGTACGAATGTGAAAGTAGAAATCAATATATTTTATTAGGAAGAGAGATTTTTTAGGAATAGGGCGGAAAGTTAAAATTTCAGGATTTTGTTTTTATATATACTATAGATTGTATTACACTATTTTAAAATATTAGAATAGAATTTTAACGCAGAATTATTGTACGAATGGGAAAGTAGATGGGAAAGTAGAAATCAATATATTTTATTAGGAAGAGAGATTTTTTAGGAATTGGGCGGGAAGTTAAAATTTCAGGATTTTATTTTTATATATAGTATAGATTGTATTACACTACTTTATAATTTTAGAATAGAATTTTAACGCATAATTACTGTACGAATGGGAAAGTAGAAATCAATATATTTTATTACGAAGAGAGATGTTTTAGGAATTGGGCGGGAAGTTAAAATTTCAGGATTTTGTTTATATATGTAGTATAGATTGTATTACATTATTTTGTAATGTTAGAATAGAATTTTAAAAAATTTCAGGATTTTGTTTTTATATATACTATAGATTGTATTACACTATTTTATAATATTAGAATAGAATTTTAACGCAGAATTATTGTACGAATGGGAAAGTAGAAATCAATATATTTTATTAGGAAGAGAGATTTTTTAGGAATTCGGTGGGAAGTTAAAATTTCAGGATTTTATTTTTATATATAGTATAGATTGTATTACACTACTTTATAATATTAGAATAGAATTTTAACGCAGAATTACTGTACGAATGGGAAAGTACAATTCAATATATTTTATTAGGAAGAGAGATGTTTTAGGAATTGGGCGGGAAGTTAAAATTTCAGGATTTTGTTTTTATATATAGTATAGATTGTATTACATTATTTTGTAATATTAGAATAGAATTTTAACGCAGAATTATTGTACGAATGTGAAAGTAGAAATCAATATATTTTAGGAATTGGGCGTAAAGTAAAAAATTTAAGGATTTTATTTTTATTTATAGTATATATTGTATTACACTATTTTATAATATTAGAATAGAATTTTAACGCAGAATTATTGTACGAATGGAAAAGTAGAAATCAGTATATTTTATAGGAAGAGAGATTTTTTAGAAATTGGGCGGGAAGTTAAAATTTCAGGATTTTGTTTTTATATATAGTATAGATTAAGGGAAAATGACATTTTTCCCCTGAGTTATATACATATAGCACTTTTTTCCCTGAACTATTCAGGTAAGCACATTAGCCCCCTCAATCATTCTAAAAGTGGCGATTTTTCCCCCTGATATATTAAATTGATATTTCTACCCTTAAAGTAAACATTTTATTTATTTTTCTCTTCTTCAACAAATTATTGCGTATACGTAGGGATGACCACGGTTCAGTTCGAACTGAACTAGACACTATAGCAATCGAATTAAAAGTTTCCGGTTATGATTCAGATCCAAAACCCAATATTTGGATTTTGGATTTTAGTTTATTAAAATTATGAATCGAAAAAACTGGATCCTGAACCGTGAACTGACGTTTTCGGATCTGGTTCGTGATTTTGAACCGTCTTTATTTTAAAATAGTCTAAATTCAACAATAAATGTATTTTATTTTTTTTAGTTCGAAATATGAACCGACCGTTCCGGTTCGCGATTTTAATAAACTCTAAATATCGGGTTTCAATTCTAAATTGTAATTGAAATACTTCGATTTGGTTGCTATAGTATCTCTTTGGTTTGAACCAAATTGTGTTCATAATTTGTTGGAAAAGAAAAATATATGAAATATTTATTTTAAGGGTAAATATGTCCATTTAACATTTCAGGGGGAAAACAGCCACTTAAATAATTCAGGGGAGAAAAGTGCTATAAGTATTTTCCCATTAATTAATTGAGAATGATGCCATTGATTTTATAACAAATGGGTCTTACGCAGGTGCGGATCTACAATGGGAGCAGCGGGCAGCTGTCCCAACTCCCCTGTGAGAGTGAGAACACTTGCATTGCATTAAACATAAACAAGCTTTAAATAAGCTTTACGGAGCAAGGAGACAGGAAGCAGATAAAAGCTAAATCACAAGATAAAACAAATATAATAGAATTAATATATGAGGCCTAGACTAAGTCTTAGCTAAACCACTAACTTCTGGGAAAATTAATTCAAATTAAATGTCCAATAGCAACTTGTCAAACTCAATAAATAATTAACCTAGCATGCAACTTCTTAGAAAATTCAATAATTCAAATCAAAGGTGACGGACGGAGTCCAGGTTAGCTATATGTCTCTATTAGTAAATTGGTTTGTCTATCACTGCACCTAATCATCAAAACCCAACTTGTATATTGTGTGTTTTAGAGATTCAGGTGAAGATGGACGACCATGATAAAACCTCATTATCATCAGCTACACTTTGTACTCTCCCATATCTTCTGTTTTGCCTCATTTGTAGTGTTACCCTTATTCCCACTGCCTCTATTTCAGCTACTCTCTACTCAAATGAAACTGATAGAATTTCCCTTTTAGATTTTAAACACCGGATTTCTTATGATCCGCATGGAGTATTACTTAACTCCTGGAATGACTCCGTGCATCACTGTGATTGGCCCGGAGTGAGTTGCGGTCGTCTACACCGACGAGACGAGTTGTGGCTTTGGAGCTTCCTGGGAAGGGGTTGGTGGGAACCATATCGATCTCATCGCATTGGAAATCTCACATTCCTCAGGAATGTTGATCTTTATGGCAATGGATTGCATGGTCAAATTCCAGGAGAGATTGGTGGACTCAAATATCTGGGCTTGTCTACCAATTCATTCAGTGGAGAACTTGTGGCAGTTAATCTCAGCAGCTGTGTACAACTCAGGGAACTCTACTTGGACCGAAATGGTTTCCAAGGGAAGCTCCCTGCGGGCCTAGCAGCTACTTTGAGGAAGCTACAAATCCTTTCTCTGGGCAGAAACCAATTGACAGGTGAAATTCCTGCTGCTTTTGGGAATTTTTCATTGCTTCAAGCATTGGGGTTGGAGTATAATCATTTGGAGGGAAGTGTTCCAAATCAGATTTCACAGTGTTGGGGTTTAAATAAGCTTTCACTTGGCGCCAACAATCTCACCGGCACACTGTCTTCTGCTTTCTTCAATATCACTCCAATTACATTATTTTCAGTAGCAGGAAACAAACTTCAAGGCACCATTCCAAGCCACGTAGGAGACACCATGCCCAACTTGGAAGAATTCTATGTTGGTGGCAATGAATTCCATGGATCCATCCCTACTTCACTTCCCAATGCCTCTAAGCTTCAACATATTGAGGTATCTTTAAACAATTTTGTGGGTAAAGTTCCAGAGAATATAGGAAAGTTAAAAGATCTTCTGTTTTTTAACCTTGAGCTCAATCTTCTTGGTAGCAATGACCAACTGGCTTTTATAACCTCTTTGTCAAATTGTAGCAATTTGGAAATGCTTTCCATTTGTGGCAATAGATTTGAAGGCAAATTGCCAAAAACCATAGCTAACCTATCACCCAAACTCACTTATTTACATCTAGGGAATAATAAGTTATTTGGAACAATACCCATAGGAACAAAAAATCTAACTAGTTTGATCTTTTTAGGCCTAGGAAACAACCAATTATCAGGTATTATTCCTAGTGAGATAGGTGACTTGCAAACACTACAACATTTGGGTTTATACCGAAACCAATTCTCTGGAAAAATACCACTTACTCTTTTTAACCTCACTTCATTATTTTCACTTTATCTGAGTTTCAATAGTTTTGATGGCAATATACCTCCAAATGTGGGTAACTTGAAGAATTTGAATGAATTGTCCTTGTCAAAAAACAGATTCAGTGGTTCCATTCCTCAACAAGTTTTTGATTTGCCATCTTTGTCTATCTTCCTTGATCTCTCCTACAATTTATTCACTGGGCCATTACCTCCGACCATGAGCAAATTAAAAACACTAAATTGGTTACACATCTCAGAAAACAAGTTATCTGGCAAAATTCCTGAATCAATTGGTGATTGCTTGAGCCTCGAAGAACTTGATATGCATGCTAATGGCTTTGAAGGAAAAATCCCACCTTCTTTGGTTTCCCTAAAAAGCCTTGTGTATTTGGACATCTCAAACAACAAGTTGACTGGAGAGATACCGAGAAAATTTCAAAATCTCCATCTCTTGCAATATTTGAACCTTTCTTTCAATGATCTAGAAGGTGAGGTGCCAACAAATGGAATTTTTTCCATGGCAAACAATGTATCATTGCAAGGAAATAAAAAACTTTGCGGTGGTATACCTGAGCTAAAGCTACCTCCATGTCTGTGAAGAAAACAAAACATAGAAAGCATCCAAAGCTTATGGTTGTTGTCTTCGCATGTGTCAGCGTGTCTCTAATTTTTGCATCATTCCTTGCTTTTCTAATACTGCATTATTGCAAGAAGAATGACAAAAGCAAGGAGTTCTCTGAGCAGTCCACCAATTTAAAGCTTTCCAAGATCTCTTACACTTATTTGCACCAAGCAACTGAAGGCTTCAATGAAACACATTTGATTGGTTCCGGAAGTTTTGGCTCAGTTTACAAAGGAAGGTTTCAGCAAGGTGGGGAACAAATAGTTGCAGTGAAGGTACTTGATCTCCTAAAGAATGGTGCTTCAAAGAGTTTTCTTGCTGAGTGTAAAGTCCTAAGGAACATACGCCATCGGAATCTTGTTCCAATTTTGACATGTTGCTCAAGCTGTGATTTCATGGGTAATGAATTCAAAGCTCTAGTTTATGAGTTTATGGAGAATGGGGATCTTGACACGTGGTTACATCCACATTCAGATGGTGAAAGGACTAATGTTTTGAGTGTTCTTCAAAGATTAAACATTACAATTGATGTTGCTTCGGCATTGGATTATCTCCACAATGATTGTGAACCCCCTGTTATTCATTGTGATCTAAAGCCCAGTAACATTCTTCTTGACAAAGATTTCACCGCTCATGTTGGAGATTTTGGGTTATCAAGACTTTATTCACTTACAATAGGAGATTCACCAGGAAAGAGTAGTACACTCGAATTAAAGGGGTCCATTGGCTATATTGCACCAGGTACTTAGAATATCATTAATTAAAAAAGTTAATCATTTTCAAGTTTTAGTCTTTTAATTATTGTTTTTATTTTATATTTTTAATAACTTTTGGTTATCAACTTCAAAGTTGACTAGATTAGGTTCTATGGTTTTACTCTTACATTTGATCCTTTTTTCTTGACAAATATTTGGATTAAGAATACGGGATGGGAGCAAATGCAACAACTTGTGGAGATGTATACAGTTATGGAATCTTTTTATTGGAAATGTTCACTGGAAAAAGACCCACATATGATTTTTCTAGTGACAATTGTAGCAGCCTTTCAGAATATGTTGAAACAGCATTGCCAGATGAAGTGATGAAGATTGTAGACCCATTGCTTCTAGCATGCCAAGAAAGCAACAACCATGGAATAAGATGTAAAGAAGAATTGAAAAATCCTAGCAAGTTGGTGGAAATTGAAGAGAGAAAGATGGATGATTTCTTCATCTCCGTGTTCAAAATTGGACTCTGTTGTGCTTGTAGATCACCAATGGAGCGTGGAAACATGAAAGATGTCAGCAGAGAGTTACAGAAGATTAGAAAGGCCTTCTTTGTTTAAGGAATGAACTTTATTATGCATGCATGGTAGTTTAAGGCAAATCATATACTTTGTGTTTCAACTTTTATTCGTAGATCGATAGATCAGTAGAAGGAACAAGTGTGGCGTGCCTGGCTAGATAAGTAGAAGACAAAATGTTAAATTTTAATATGTAAACAAACTAATTTGAATTTTATGAAGATGTCTTTTTTCTTTTTTTTTTCTTTTTTTTTTTTGTCTTTTACATTTATCAGCTTATCAAAAAGTTAATTTTATCAAATACTTTCAAGCATAACAGCTAGCTTTATAATTCATCCGTTTTCAGCTCATAACTTATAACTTTTCAACTTTAAACTCCTTTCAAATTTTCAGCTACCTTTTAGCTAAGTTTGCTAAACATAGCCTAAAACTTTCAACGAAAAATTTCAGTTACAAAAATAAATTGCAATTGAATTTTTAATTAAAAAAACTACTAATTTTATTTAGCATGTTTGCAAAATTGCAATGTAGTAGGTCTTTTTTAGAGTTGTTACTCTATTCCCGGCCAATCTTTTTTCTATAAACTAAAAATGTGTTGCAAATTTAATGTTTGAATTAGTGTAATAAGCTACGTGGTTGAAAAGAATGCAAAAGATATAACAAATACTGGCCTATAATTGTGCACTTGAAGGCACAATTTTGTGTTTTTGAAGGCCAAAGTTCTACACTCGAAGGCAAAAAGATGTGCAATTGATGCAATTTACGGTACTAAAAAGGGAAGTTATTCAACTTAAGTGTTATTGAAACAATTACCCTTAAAAATCGTTTGTAAATTAAATCTCACAAATTTCATTAGAAATTACTTATACGTCATTGAAAAAAGGCAAAACATATAATAAACATTGACTCATAAAAATGCACTTGAATGCACAAAATGTGCATTTGAACACAAAGAAATGTGTATTTAACTTGAAGGCCAAAATGGTGCACTTAAATGCAGTAAGATGTGCACTCCAAAGGAGAAAACTATGCACTGAGACAAAACATATACACTCGAAGAAGGAGAAATATGCACTCGAATAAGAAAAATGTGTACTTGAAGACAAAGAACATCTAAACTAACTTACACAAATTTACCAAAATGTCATCGTATTTTTTTTAAATTGTCTGTATTTTAAACTCTTGATCTGCTGAACTAAATCAATGAATGAGATTAAACTCAATTTTTCACTCCTATGAATATTCAGGTCAATGCATGGAGAGCCGGACAGACCCAACCCCACCTATTTATGAGGTTTGCCTTTCCTCTTGACGTCAAGTCAACTTAAGGTTTTTTTTTGTTTTTTTTTTTTTTTGTTTTTTTTTTGGTGAACTTAAGTTAATTATATCCAGACGTCCAGTTCAATATCAAGGTCCTTTTCACCACTGAATTCCAGATTTCCAGTCATCCATAATAAGGCTTGTCTCTTTTCTCTTGGCGTCAAGTTAACTTAAGAAAAGTATATGTCATTATGGAGGCATTTGGTTCATCCATTAATCGAAATTGTAATTGAAATCAAATGTTTGATAATTATAATAGATTTAAGTATATAAAATCTCTTCCATTAGATAGTAAATACGAATAAAAATAAAAATAAATAAATAAATAATTAATTAATAAGCATAAAAATAAATAAATATACAACACATATATAGTTATATACTAATATACACACATACATGTGTATATATATTAAAATTTCATATTAAATATTTAAATGCATAGACAATTACATTTTTAACTTTTTTTTTTATTCTCTAAAAAATTATTGCTTATATGTAAAGATTAACACGGTTTGACTTGAATAGACTGGAAACTGTAACAACCGATATCATTGGGACGGTTTCGGTTACAGTTCAGAAAGGTTACGGTTCTAGTTTATTAAAATCGGGAATTGGAAATGCCGATTCCAATTTGAAATCAATCGGTTCCAGTTCTGAACAGGAAAAATAAAATTAATGAAATACTTATTTTTAAGGGTAAAAATGTCCATTTAACATAAAAAGAGAAAAATCACCCCTTTTAAAATAATTGATGGGTTAATGTGGACACAAACAATTCAGGAGAAAAATAATATAAGCATATAATTCAGGAGAAAAAATTGTCATTTTCCCTTTCATTTTTCAAATTGTAGCGATATTTTCTAAATTATAATCTTTGATTATTTCATTTTTAAAAAAAAAATTACTAACAGAAATTATTTTTGGTCTCAATGTTTAAAATATTCTCAAATGTAATATGATGACGTCTTGTAAACATTTTTTTTTTTGCCTAGAATATTTAAAACATTTACAAGTGCATTCCTTTTTAAAATAAAATAAAAAGGGTGACACTTGTGTGAGACCGTCTCACGGATCTTTATCAGTGAGACGGGTTGAGTTGGGTCGGATCAATATGTAAATGTAATACTAAATCAAGAATAAAAATGTTTGTTACTTATAATGGAAAACATAATACTTTTGAGAACAAATATAATACTTTTATATTTTGATGTAAAAATATTACGTTTTTCATCAAAAGTATTATCTTTTCCGTTATAAGTAATGTTGCAAGCAAACGTAATACTTTTATATCAAAATGTAAAAATATTATATTTTTCCTCAAAATGTCTGGAAAATGTAATACTTTTGATTACAAATGTAATACTTTTACATTTTAATATAAAAGTATTACATTATAAGTGATGTTGACAAATGTTTGTTACTTATAAGGAAAATGTAATACTTTTAAATCAAAATGTAAAAGTATTACATTTCTCTTCAAAAGTATTATATTACACATTCCTGTAAAAATAATAAACATTTTATTCCTTATTAGTATTACATTTTCTAATATAAATATTACATTTGATCTTGACCTAACCCATCTTACAGATAAAGATCTGTGAAACGGTTTTGCATAAGTTTTTGCCGAGCTGCGTAAATGAACATACATTAGAAAATAAAATAAGAAGAGAAAAAATAAATCATAGTTTAGAGCAAGTATTCACGTGGAATATATAAGAAGAAAAAAAATAAATTCAATAGCTTTGAACAAGTATTCACATGGAATTTGGCGTCCCGTTGCATTGGTCATGACATATAGAAGAATGTGGACCACGAAAGTATTTGCATCAACTTGTCATCGAATACTTGTATCAAAAAACTTATGGGGTGACTCAATCCATTTTAATTAGCGTCAAGTTCTTGATGTAACATATGTACATTACCAATATACAATACTCTTATTGAAAACTCTCAAAACCCAATAGCTCTTATGTACATTATTTTATAGTAGACAAAATATGATCGGCACAACTTGTGTGGACCATGGTCCATACAATAATGATTGACTCCAATATCTCACATGCATTATATTGGCAATCATTATTGTATGGATCATGGTCCACACAAGTTGTGTGGACCATATTTTGTCTACTGTAAAATAATGTACATTCAGTACAAAAATAATGTACATTCAATACAAAAATAATGTACATTGTATTCAGGGGATGTACATTATTTTTATTCTGAGTGTACATTATATTGTATAATGTACATTCAGTACAAAAATAATGTACATTTAGTATATTAAAAATGTACTTTTGTTATGGTCCACATAACATTGTGTGGACCATGGTCCACACAATAATTTGCCGTATTGGAGTACCATGCCAAACAATATTTGGATATTCCATAATGAGCGGGGATATTATACAATCGAGTAATCTTAAAATTAGAAATATTTAAAGTTGAGTACTAAATACAAACTATGAGATTAAGATAGTAGGTCCCAGAACGACAACTTGAGACATTTAATGTTTAATTGACTTAATCAACTTGACTTGCGAAATATTCCAGCCAAAATTAATTGAACATACTTTCAGCTCTTGATTTTTTCTAATATTAGGTGGCTATTGACAACGAGTTGATGAAAACTAAACTGTTTTTTATTTTTGGGACAAATATCAAGAAGTCGTCCAAGTAATTTTAAAAAATAAAAAATAAAAAAATCTTTCCCTTACCCCCTCGTCACGTTTTTTAGGGAACAATTAAAACGACTAATCCACAATATATACATAGGAACAAAGGAAAAAGAAGGGTAATTTTTTTTAATATTTAAATTGCATGTATACTTTTTTTTTTTTTTTTTTTGAAAGTTACTGGCTCTATTACATTGTAGTATCTGTTCATATACTTTCTCAGCCTACTGAAACACAAAGAACCAATAACGCCTCCACTGAGGCTTGAACTCATAATCTTCCAAATGAAAATCCAACCCGGGTACCATTAGACCACATAATCCTGGTAAATTGCATGTATACAATATACTTCAAACGCATAACATACACGCGTATTTAACGTAAGGAATATGAGGAACGAATATGCTTATGCGTTTATGGTTATGGACATACACGTACCAAAATATTACAAACGCATACACTGTACACATTCAACCATTTTTAAATTAAAAACACACACACAAAGTAAATTGCATTTGAAAAATTACTCACATGTAATATCGGCATAAAATTGGTACTCATATGATAAATTGTGAGCAACTGAGCAATGATCTAGAATCAAGATCTATCAGTTACATCCAATGTGATAAATTTCTTGTGGGCACTGATAAGTGCATTCATGCCCATATTTTATCTCATATATAGACAGTGATAAACACTTTAGTTTTATACGAAAGTTTCTTAATTCCTTTATTTATAGCTTGAGGTGCATAAATTGTAGACAACAGTGTACTTTTTGGGGCATTATATTTTGGATGCATTTGGAGTTAATGAGAACTTAGGTGATGCTAAGAAGATGCTCAAAATACTTTCAAGAGAGTAAAAAAATAGCGTTTTTACCATTTGAGCAAACCAAGGCAAAAGTGGAGCAAAAGATCGAAGGCATTTCAATTCTCAAACAACATGTTGATATCTTAGTATTTCGACTATATCTTAGTCTAAGAATGTTTAAATCAAGTGATTCTTGCACCATTCGAAAGCCAACTCAAAGGGTTACAACTTTCGTGAAGATCATCAAGTCTAATTCTAATGTCGTTAAACTGGTCAGCATGATGTTTT